TAAAAAAAAAAAAAAAAAAAAAAATGTCATTTTCAGACTATTGAGGCTTCTTCTTAAACCTGTGTGTGACTAGATTTACAACAACTAAGTTACTTGGCTTAAACAGGTGAAGGGATATGAAAAGTATACCAACACTTTTTTTTTTTTAATTAAAATATTTTTAAAATAGCTTATAACATAAATGGCATGTAAGAACAAATAATTGTAGGGCATGAATTTTCACTGGACCTTTGAAAGCAATCTTTGCTTTTCATCTGTAGATGCTACAATTAATGGATTCCCAAGTTCATCACAAACTGTATATATGCACAGGTGTGCATACACACAGGTGAGAGCTGGCTATGTATCAGGGCAACTCTGTCTGCATACTCATGTGCCCTATATGTGTACAGTAATATGTAGCCACTTCTCAGGTGAAGAGCAGGAGACCATCCCCACAGGATGCTGCACAGCAGTGGAGATGGAGAGTAAGAATACATTGGCTAAAGAAATGCAAGAGAAATGCTTGCATTCACAATGCCAGACAGTGATTAAAACAGATCGAGAGAGAAGGAAAAACCCTCATTGCACCAGCCAAGAAGAGAGGGGATTGTGGTGGAAGGGAAAAAAAAGAGGAAAGTTTAAGATCCTATAAGGGTGGAGTGTGACCAGAGAAAGCAGCCTGAGAGCTTCAAAGGAAATATTCTGCCCCGGTGCTGCCACTAGTGCCATTACTATGGATGACACAAGAGGAGGAGACTGATTATTCTTTATTGTCACATATAATCTGAATCCATGTTTTGTTTTAGTATTTGGAAGCACCTCAAGATTTTTTGTTTCTTGTGGTCAATAGTGACTTAGCTTTCACCCTGGTCACTATTTATTTCTTGGATCAATACATCTCCACAACAGTCATAGAATCATAGAAAGAAGGACAGGAAGGGACCTATAAGATCATCAAGTCCAGTCCAGTGCCATGGGCAGGAGGTAATTGGGCTCAAACGAGCTCAACGAGTTATCTGTCCAGCCTCCTCTTAAAGGCCTCCAGAGATGACAACTGCACCACCTCTGCTAGAAGCACGTCCCAGATTCTAGTTACCCGTACAAATAAGAAGTTTTTGCTTATGTCCAGCTGAAACTTTTCCTTGACTAACCTGTGTCTATTGGTCCATGTCTTCCCCCGGGGGGAAGGGGAGAGAAAGGGAGGGCGCTGTTCTGCAATGTTATTCACCTAGGTCCTGGTGTTCTCCCTTGACATATTTGTAGGCATCTATCAAGTCACCTCTAAGCCTTCTTTTGCTCAGGCTGAACAGTCTCTCCTCATAGGGCCTGTCCCCCATGGGCCATTGGGCACAACTCCATTTGAAGTCAACGAAGTTACACCAGGACTGAAAGTAGTCCAGTCCCTGCTTGTCATATGTTGTCAAACATTTATTTAGCACTTACATGGACCTTCACATCTATCAAACACACAGTGCTGCTGCTGATGGCTAGCATCATTAGTCCCATTTTACAGCTGGGGAAGCTGAGGCATTCAACAAAATGACTTGGTAATGTAGCAAGTCAGAGACTGTGCCTGGAAGCACACACACCACTAAAAGATATTTCTCCCCTCCATACTTCAGGGGAGAAGGATTACCAAGGCACCAGCTAGTCTCTTGTAGTTCAGCCTTTATGGGTTCAGAGTTTCAAACCCAACCCAAGGGCAGAAGGCCATTGGCTATGTTGCAACGTGCCAGCCCTTAACAGCATAGAATCCACTGCAGTCCATTAGAACTCTAAGCGTCTCCAATGAGACTAGGATCTATCTGGGTGTCTGTAATTAATTCATCACAAGGGCATTCAAGCAATAATTTGGCCCATAGTCCCCATGGCAGTGGTTCTGATTTCTTAACTATACCATTTCACCTAAAGACTCCAGCTAATCTGAAGGGTAGAACATGGCTCAATAACATGCAAGTCTGCCCTTCAGAAACAGCACGATTGAAGTGCTGACCTCTCCACATTTTTTAAGAATAAAGGGTTGGCCAAGAGTCAAACAGGCCCAGAAACATTCCATTAAAAAATTAAATCAAGTCTTCTAGAAACGGATAAAAGGGCAGCTCACCCTTCTCATTTAGAAGAGGATTTATCTGGAGTTTCTATTAGGCCTGTACATGCTCTCCATGCCTACCTACAGAAGAGATGCTCTGAAGCATCACTTGACTTTGTTTTAAATATCTCGCTACAGTTTCCATTTTAGCTTTGTGAGATGATTATTTTTTTCTTACTGAACTGAAGTTGTACAGCGGTTGAAAATGCTGATGGCTTAACTGGTTTCATTTTTTTTCCATAGCAGCCCTGAGGGGTTTTAACTCTTTCTGCAGCCCTGAAATCCTGCTTTTGGAGTTCAATGTTTAACTCGCGCTGGGAGACTCATAAATATTCGGAGTCACTCTCTCCCTCTCTGTTTGATTAGGAAATGAGCCTTTAACTCAATGTAATCCCCAAGCCATTAACAAAAAAGCCCTCAACAGCTCTACTATTAGAATTTCACTCCTAACCCACAGAGGATTGAATTAGATTAACATAACTACCCGCAATCTGAGTTTATTTTCTGTGCCAGATAGAAATGTGTTTTCAGGAAAGGAAAAGAGAGAGTGAGAGAGCAAGCATGAGCATAATGAAATGTAAAAATAGAGAGATGAGAAAGAGATGGACAGATGTATAGGTGAAGAAATAAAAAGAGGGAGACAAGGGATAGCTGCACAATCTTTAATAAGTAGCTGATGGCTTTGCAGGGGGGGAGTTGTATTTGAAGGGCCCTCACAGTGTAGAATTGTACTACTAAGAAGAGTGTTTTCTCCCCTAGTGTTTTCTCCATATTTTCAGAGACTTAAAGATACACACCTGGGCATGCTGCGTTTTCGACACCTGTGCAGCCCATTTGGAACAGGTTTTATTCTTAATTCCCATGAAGAGTTATACATAACGAAAGAGAGAAGAGAGTAAGGCAGAGAGAATGCATGCGTCAATCATTACTTTACAGTCACAGAAACAAATAGACAAGGGTGGAACAAGCAAGATTTTTCATTCCTCAAAATCACAAACAGCCCTGTGACAAATTACATTTAAGAAGCCAGTTTGGAGGAGACTAGGTTGATGGGTGCTTAGTCTGCATAAAATTAATCGTTAGTGAAGCAGAAAGTAAATAATAACAGGCTGCCTTCCACACAATGGATCAAAGTTTTCTAATCATTTATTTATCTAAACACGCATAAAGATAAAAAAGATGTCCCATAATCTATTGATCTGCATGCTATAGGGCAGTGGGTGCTTGGTAATTTTTCTAGAATTTTTGCCAGAATAAGACAAAGAATCTGCAGGTTGAGCAGGAAGAGACCTATAGTAGCTGTTTAAAAGAGGAGGAGGAGGATAAAGTTGAGCAGTTATTGTAAACCAACCAATAAAATATTCCCCATATCCTTAAGACCAAAAAACACAAGAGGTTTATTGGGAATATTTGTTCAAGAATGTTTGGATCTCTGCAAAGTGTTCAGTCATGGGTAGTTGTAGTCATGCCTGAATGTAGGCACATTGGATTTTTGTCGCATTTGCAGTGGGGCAAGAGGGTTTTTTTTTTTTATTTTAAAATAGTCTGCCTTTGTTCTTGATTTTTAAGAAAACCAAAGATCAGCTGTATAATAGTGACTTTGTTAATCAACAATCAGCATTTTTCATTTCTTCACTACATTTAAAAAACCCTCCTCTCATTTGTATAAATTAAAATATGATGTATAAGAAACAAAGAAACAATAAATGCAGCATTGTATCAGACAAAAATTATGGTTTATAGCAAGCATACTTGAAAAAAATGAATTGAAAAAAGAAAATCTTAATGAGTCAAAACTAAGCTTTCTATAGTGAGCATTTTCACAGTGGTAATTTGATTTGATTTTTTTTTTTTTTTTAAACAGAGGAAGCTGTGCATTGCAAGGATCATGTTAAATGTTACTAACTTAAGCAAAAAAAAAAAATCAACATGTTTATCAATTTTGTCCTGCTATCTGACCTCTGTATCAAAATTCCAGTTCAGTAGCTTGAGTCATTACATCCATGATTAGAAACTCTACAAGAACCAATCTGAAACAACTTCCAAAATAAGAGAAACATTTACAAGTTTAAAATTTAGGGACTTATTAAAATGTACACTGAATTTAAAAACCCGTAACAAATTATATGAGCTTTAAAAAGACTATTTGATCTATTTGTAAACTTTCCCCAGTTAATTTTGCCAAAACTATCATTTATTTCTGAGTACTTGATATTTTCACTAATGGAAAGTCTATTATCTATAAAAAAAACCCCACTGAAAAGCAAAATAAAATTTGTAATCTTGATCTATTTCTCAGACACTATAAATATAAGAAATTCCAAAGCAGTCTCATAAATATATAATAAAGGTTTTTTCTATATTGAAAAAATATAACTGAAACTAAATTCAGTTAAAATGATCAAATCTTTGAGGCCAAAATATGAAACACTACTAACTAATAAAAACTATTTTAATTTTAATACTTACATACAAAAAGCTGAGGAATAAAAACTAATTGCCAATTCTTTTTCAAACCTTTACAATAAGAGCTTCTCCTCCTTTTTTTCTTAACAAAAAGCACTCGAAAATGCTCTATTGTTCAAACAATTTTGTATTCTAGATGCCTTAAAGCAAACACCTCATTGACAATCACAGAGACAATAAGTTCTTCTTTTGATTGTCACCATGCCTGACTTCTCAAAGTACTGCACCCTTCTATTGTCACCACAGATAGTTGCTTGGGGACTTTTAAAACTTGCTAAACATCAGCTGCTCAGTGCCAAATATATTCCGTAATACAACATTTCATTTTCATAGTTGTGCTACAGAAGGTTTGAGCCAACACTGCTACTGAAGGGAGAAAAAGGGGGTGTTTGGTTCTTTTTACAATTGGCTGCTGAAGTTTCCAGGTTTATGGTTCCTTTACCAGCACCAGTCAAATCACACCTGTCCTTGGTAAGCCCTTAAGCAGAGTTACATTATACGTTGACCTTTTCCAAATGCCAGCAAACCTGACTATTCCTATTTCCCAAACAATCCCATACCACTCAAACTTTCATTTGGTTATTTCAAGAAGGGAAAAAAGAAAAAAAAAAAAAAAAAAAAACCCAAAA